CCAAGTACACTGATATTTTTAAGACTTCCAGGTGGTTCCAACATGCAGCTCTTATTAAAATGCAGATTCTGACTTCATACATCCTAGGGTCAGGCCCGCAGTCCTACACTTCTAACAGGCACAGGGTATCTGCCCACGCTGCTGGCCCTTAGACGGTTCTAAAACACACAAAGCAAGCTCCTGCCCTCAGAAGAAGAGAGCTGTCATCTAGCAAGACAGGCGTCAGGCTTCCCATCAGGAGGTTGAGTCTGAGTCCCTGCCGGCCTTCCTCACAGCTGTGTGGTCTTGGTTAAGTGTCTTGCTTTCTCAGCCTTAATTTTAGGGCTCTGGTGAGCCGGTCTTCTTCTCTCACTCCCTCTCTCTCTCTCTTTCTCCCCCTCTCCCATCTTCTTTACAGCTATTTTGAACTATCTGTCATTGTCAATGGCACCTGCTTTCCCAGCTCCCACCCTTTGAACCCACTGTTCCCTCCGTCTGGGCTGCCAACACTTGGCCATCTGGTGCCCCATCCTTCAAGGATCCGACTGGTCAAAGTCTCCCCTCTACCATTGGCCCTTGTCTCCTGACTGTCCCCACAACCCCACAGTTAAGTCACTGTGAGCAGGACCTGGGTCTCAGCCACCACTGAAGCCCCAGCAGACCGTCCTTGATGAACCAACAATAAATAGAAAGGCCATCCTGTTAATGGTGCCAAGGCAAAGAGAGAGCTGAGACTTACTGCTGCCAGTAGAAAGGTGAGCCACCTTTCTCCTTAGTTTTGTCCCACGGTGAGTGTCTCCTATAGAGGTTAAACCCAAGCATTCCAAATCAAAACTACAATGAGGTGTCACCTCACACCAGTCAGACTGGTCATCACTAAAAAGGTCTACAAACAATAAATGCTGGAGAGGCTGTGGAGAAAAGGGAGCCCTCCTACACTGCTGGTGGGAATGTAAATTGGTGCAGCCACTATGGAGGACAGTATGGAGATTACTTTAAAAACTAAAAATAGGTTTGCCATGATCCAGCAATCCCCCTCCTGGGCTTATATCTGGAAGGAACTCTAATTCGAAAAGATACCTGCACCCCAATGTTCATAGCAGCACTATTTACAATAGCTAATACATGGAGGCAACCTAAATGTCCATCAACAGAGGACTGGATAAAGAAGTTGTGGTATATTTATACAATGGAATACTACTCAGCCATGAAAATGAATGAAATAATGTCATTTGCAGCAATAGATGGACCTGAAGATCATCATTCTAAATAAA